TGTGATGAATGATGAGTGTGTGCCTCTCATTTAAAGAGGAGCCGTTTCCCGAAGAGACACACCTGTATGACTATTTCTGCTGAACTCACTCAGAACCCAAGTCTAGCCTAAATTGAAATGTACCCACTAGAATATCAAGAGCTTGTGCCACAGGTCCCTACTGTGCTGTCCAGTCTGGCTCGTGGCCTTTTGTTGTCTAGGCAAATCAGGAGCAAAGAAACAGGAACAACACAGCATATATTTATGCTCGACATGCAAATCTGAAAGCTAAAGGAGAATTTAACATTAGACTGACTGGAAAGTGATATGTAACCACACACGTTGTTCCTCCAGGCATTTGCTCCGTGTGGCCTGTCTGTCATTAGCACCAGTGTTTAGCTTTCCTAGAGAATAGAAAACAAACAATTAAAGTATGTAAGACTAACCGCACTGCGGACAGAACATCCCACAGAAAAGAAACAAGCCCTTACCTGCTCAGTTATTAACCTTCACACAGCTGCTCCTGCTTGATTCACACTGACTCATGTATCGAACGATGATGAATTTGAACCCAGTGGAAAATGAATCACATCTAAAGTCACCTTGCGATATTTCTCCAGACACGCTCTGCAACTGATGATAAAACTGAAATATTGCTAATCGAAGTGCATTGCTCCATTGAATCATCTTGGTGCCATTAGGTTTACTGGGTGCCTGGTTCTGTCTTGGCAGCTTCATATATTACCACTATCCCCTTGGGACAAGAACGTTTCTTTACAAATGTTAGTAATTTGGGATGCATCTACGCCAACGGAAGTGTCCACAGTAAAGTTTACAAGTTCTCTTGCGACACACCTGTATTTTCCTTGACGAAAATTATAGCTTAAAGCAGGCTTTTGCTGTCTTTTCATCATTTTCTTTATTATGGTGGTACAAAGTAACTTCTTTGTCACTGCCACTCACCAAAGGAGAACTTTCACCTGCCACATTAAAGCTTGTAACACGATTGAAAATCCCAGTTCCTAATTGGCAGATTAGTGTGTTCACTCAAAAGCAAGGAAACAACAAAAACAACTTCGAACCAGCTCCAGAGGAGACTGCTAATCTGCTAACTTATCCTTCAGTTTCTGACCCTGTTTCCCTTGGGGGATAAAGAGGGAATCGTGTATTGCACTACATCTTAATAAAGCCCTTCTGCCCCTTAAGACCCACTCTGAACTTCCTTTTTCAACACCCCTTCACAACCTTTGGCAATCAGCTCCTCCCCCCAATGGCTGTTGGGAGACACGGGAGGTAGCCTTGCACTGATCTCCTTGGGAAAAACTCCTCCCCACCTGGCAACGGTGAATGGCAGCCCCTCAGGAGGGCATGAGGCGCAAGCATAAAGGGTGCCTCCGAGGATTAGGCCTTAAGTCTTCACAGACCATTATCAAGCAGCATGAGTCAGAACACCGGTGATTAGACACTGAGACCGATGGCCTGAATTGATTTCTTATTCCTTGATGGAGGAAAGAATTTAGGTCGCTTCAAGTGTTTTCTGCTTTTAACAGTCCTTCATATGTCACACGTGGTTTTAATGCCATGTTAATAATTAGCCTGAAGGTCGGTAAATAAACCGCAGAGGACAACAGGGGCTGAATACACACATGCACACTGAACTAGCATTCCTCACTGACAGTCAAGGTCAAAATGTTTTCACTGGGAACTTTTTGGGGGAATTCTGGTGTTTGAAAGTTTGAAAGTGAAACTAACGCTGTGTATTAATCTTGCTTAAACATCCAGATACTTCTGCAGTTTTTCAGTCTCTTCAAAAGCCAATGATGGTGTCCTTTTGTTTCCTTTGTTTCCTTGTCTACTGCTTCTTTTTCTTTATCGATGTGTGCTACTGTATTTGTCGGTGTTGTGCTGTTTCTAGAACAACAACTTCCCTGAGGTACCCTACCAAAGGGATCAATAAAGTTCTATCTGAATCTGAATCTGAATCTGCATGCATGGGGATGTCAGGCAGGAGTTAGGCTCAAAGGATGGCTAGTGCCGCAAAATATTATGTTTTTTAACAGTCTCTGAAAAAAAAAACTTAACATGAAATGAAGGTATCAGTCATATTTCAACCTTATAATACACATTTCTTAAAAAACAGGAGAGCGGCATGAAGAGACATGTTTCAGAGAGGTAGATTTCTCAAAGTAACAAGAGGACAAAACTCCTCAAAATGCTCAAATTTAATCCTCTGAAACTCCCCTGTGCTGAATCCAGACTCTTAAAGGATCCAACCGTGCCAGCTGACCTCAGTGCATAGGCATGTGATGATCCACTTAGGAAACTCCTCCATCAACAAGCCCCCCCTCCAAGAGCTCTTCAGGCGATCGCACACAGCCAGTCCAGGATCTATTCAAAACTCACATTTCCTCTGGCCAACACACACTTCTGGGCTCTGAGGTGTGAGTCCATTGTAAACCTTACCACCAATTTGACAATCTACAACCAAACTGCTGTCCTGTTAGCACCTCTCTGCAAAGTCCACATGGACTGGTGGCGGGACAGCTGTGTGAAGTGTGAGGGGGAGGAGGTCGCTGAGAACACTACACTCATTTAACATCAAGCTGTTTGCTGCATGCTGTGTTATAAAGGGTGTGACCTGTATTGTTCTTGTTGTTTAGAGCCTTAATTAAACTTATTGTACATTGCAATCAAATGACAACACTTTGACACTTAGCTTTGTCTGTCTTTGTGTACATTGACGGAACGCTCAAGCTTTTCTCATGCTCTAATAAATCACAAGAAACAACATTAATTACATAAACAATCATTTACAACAACATATCATTAAAACGGCCACAACATTGTTATGGCTTAGCACCATGTCTGCAAGTGTGATTATATTTAATGCACGGCATACTTGCCTAACTGAATGCGAGGTGTTGTCGAGGAAGCTGATAAGAGTTTTATAGATTCAAATGGGTTTTGAAGAGGCCATCTAACAGGAACAACCAAAGCAGAGAGCCTGTAACTAATGTGGGTAATCCACCGGAAGAGCACTATAGAAGGAATGCTATTGTGGGAGGCTGTAAAATAATTTACATTCAAATAAATTCTTTTGTACAGAACATAGGAGTTTGAGTCGAACAGTGAAATGAACTACAGTGAATGCGGCGCTGTATGAATTCAACTACAATAGCAGCTGTTATATAATGGATTAGCATAAACTTATGCAACGCTAGTGTAATTTTGCAGACATTCAAGACAAGGGGCTGCTGGGAGTTTCAGTGCACGAGTTCAAATTTTTGCCGAACAGGAGTAGCTGCAGGCTCACCTGAGGCCGCCCGTGATTAATGCTACAGGCAATTAAGCAGAGAAAAGAGTTCCAGTCCACGAGCTCCATTAACAAGCCCACTCAGAGACGCAGTCATCCCTGCCATCATCTATCTACGTCCACAACCCTATGCCCACTGGTCTGGAAAAGCTGCAGTGAATGGAGATGATCCGTCCGTCCCCCCAGAACCCCTTTAAAGCTGTACATTCTGCATACACAGCTACATTCCTGCTTGGGGTTAAGTAGGTCAGAGGGAACCTTTATCTTTGAGAGAGTTGTTTCATGCAGCCTCAGGTCTGTTAATGCCTGGCTGAGCCACTGTCATTGGATTGACAGTCCGGACATGCGTTTGTACTTCACCGTTAGCCTATATTTCACATGTGGGTGACAAGGATTGTAATCATGCTGGCTCGTGTTCCACCGTGGTGATAAAAGTTTAACTTTGATGGAGGGTCTTAGGTAGGTTTCCATCATTTACTTTGTCTGGGGAAAGATTTCAAGAGCAGAACAATAAAAAAAAAATACTCTCAACAGCTGAAAAGAACATCTTGGTGGGCCTTTTCTTATATAGTAATTCTGTCTGATAATGCACAGTGCCGTTCAAGTTCTTTTGACTTTAAAATCCTTAGACCCTTTAGAGGAATTGGAGCTGGATGGTTACTACAACCTTTTTATTGTTTACCTTGACCAGACAGTGTGCTTCCTTTCAACATGTGCATTCCTCCTGTCAGCTAACCACATCCAATCATCACCTCACACAGATAGCACATTACCAGCAACCCTGCCCCTTAATTAACATCCATCCATCCACAGCGGGGGGGAGCCAGGTCGGTCACACTTTAACTCCAGCTAATCATAAACAAACCAGTCTGAAAATGTTTCAACTGCAAGTAGGTGTTCTGTCATTGCCACGGTGTTATGTACAAGACATCTGAGCTGAAAAATGAGCTGTGAGAATGTGTAGTTGGTGTAGAGTGGCCTTTTCTGGAAATAGAGACAGAAATGTTCATGAGGGCAGCACACGTGTCCCCTTAAAAGCCTCCTCTGGCCAAAGCTGAACCAAAGGGATAGGCGTGGGGAGGGAGAAAAGCAACCATTGACACATTAATATTCTTCAGCCAAAGTGGAAGTCTAATGCCAAATGTGTTCAGTAGAGAGGAGAGGAGTTGAGGGGGTGGTGGGGAGTTGAGGGACAGAGCAGGCAAACAGATACAAAGAGTCCCTGTGTCAATGCTGTGGCTCTCTGACTGAAGATAATGAACACTAAAATAATATGTAATTTGAGTGGCCCCCAGCATACAAGGTCAGCACCACTGGCTAGACTAACCATCTTGGCTGTCAGTGGTTCTGACACGTTCTGGTTTGATGTGTAAGTGTTCAGGGGTTTCAGCTGGATGAAGGGGGTTGGCCGAGCTCCACGGCTACACAAAGAGCCTCTCTGCCAGCCGGGACTGTAGGAGGGGAGTTCATTGCTCTCTCAGCTCTGCCTCTCAAAAGCCTCTACATTTCCTCTATTCTTCCATTTCAAGCATTTTTCCATTCACTTCTGCTGCACTTCTGTGTTATGTTAGCAAACTGTCCTGGGAAACCAGATATACCAGTAGGAATAAACGGATTTATTAAAACTCTTGTATCATAAATCTGGCCAATTCATAGAATGCAATTACCAGAGCAGAGGCCACACTAAATATAACTGCAGTGCTCTTACCTTCCCCCATTGGGCCCTGGTGGAGAGCAGAATGAGACCCCTCTGGCATGGCACGCAGGCCTCTGGAGCTGACAAAAGAAAACATTAAGGGTCAAAGAGAATCCAGGAATTTCATTGTCAAGACTTAGAGTAAATACAGTGGGGAAAAAATGTTTATCATCTTCCAGAGGGTAGATTCATAGTGAAAAAGAAGAAAAGAAAAGAGAGAAAAAAAACACCCTTGGTTCTTTACTCTGTTCTTTTGTCAACAACGAGCTCACCCTTCTCTCTCAACTGGACATGGATCTTATATAAAAGGGAAATTCTTCCCATTCCCCTGCTCACAGCTCTCCATTGGCTCGTGCCAGCCACTTGGTAACGCGTAGTGAAGCTAGGGTCGAGGTATGTACAGGCGACTGTGATATGAACCCATTTTAATCTGTAAAAAAAATGGGCAGTCCAACTTGACATGAATGGACGCTGCTATAAATATGAGTGCATGTTATATTGAATTACTGTAAAATAAAACAGGTAAAACACTAAATAAATACATTTACCCTAAACAAGCTTTGTTGCATTTTATTCAGCAATTCAAGTCACATCAAAACAAGCCTCTCATTATCAGTGTAACCATCCAGCGGCATTGCAGCTTCACCCCTGGTGGCTCGTATTTTTCTAATCCCTTATGCCAGCGGTGTTCTTAATGATGAGCCGTGCCCCCCCTCGGAGCCACTGTGCTGCCAGTTTCTCACATCACTGCCTCTCAGTCTCCTTACAGCAAATTAACACTGTGCATGAGAACTTGTCTCTCTGTGATTCCTGGTCAGCCTCCGGCCTTTTAACCATCACATTCTTGGGCCAGCTAGATCAGAGGAGCAGGAATTCTTCGGGGATTAGGATGGGCATTGTTCCTTTTGCGTCTGCTGGCCACTGTGCCGAGCTGACAGCCGGGCCAGCCGAGGCAAAACTGAGCCCGCTGCCAGGAAGTTCGCCAATTAAGATGTGCAGGAATGCAAGGAGAGAAGTCACAGAGCTGGATCTGCACACTAAGATCACTGCTTCACTGCAGCCTGGATTAAAGTAGACTTTGTTTACTAGACAAAAAAAAACAATGCCATAAAGCTATTAGTATTTGTTGTTCATCTCAAGGCAGATCACAACATGTGAATAAGAGAGGGGGGGGAAAATCATTCAACTGTCTTAAAATTAAATGTAGGTTTTGGTTGGACTCATACGACATTTACTTATTTACTTACTCTGTACACTTTCAGACCACTGGCAGCACTATGAAAGTTTTTTTTTTTCCAGTGACACCATTTGTTTGTAACTCCTACATGCACAAGAATGCAGACACGCAGCAGCAGGATACACAATCACGTTGATGGCCTCACAAAATTCCACTGATTTACAATGTGTGGCGCTAAGTAAAGCAACAAGCGTAAGATGACTGTATGGGCATTAAAGGTTACAGGGAACAGAATGAACATGCTTAGATTTGTAAATATTCTAATAAAGAAATAAATTCAAACAGGTAAGACTGTTCTTGTGGTTCTTTTTTATCCACATAGAATGTCTACATACATTTTCCAGTTTTAACTTGTTGTGGATTACAAATTAACCAATCCAGTCAACCGTACCATTTTAATTTTCTCTTTCGTGCCTTAAACATATATGTTAACAATCTTGCTGTAGCGCAAAGAGTGCAACAAATGCTGTAAACCCTGTAAACAACTACGCTCAGTGTAAGTCTATGCAGTGACATTCTTTAAGTCTGAAGCCTCCTCTGTTTTGGACCAAGCTTGGCCAATTGATTTTCAAGTGGTTGGTTAGTTTGTGTGACCTACAAGGCAGCGCAGATGTTGACGGTGAGGCTTTGAACTTGTCTCAGTGAACAGTGAACTAATAAAAACCTCAGATAATCCCACCTACTACGACCTCTGAACTACCCCTGCCTAATGACCAGACCAAAACTATGCTAATCTGTCTTTGGTCAATGAGAGGCTAGACTGGGTATAATGGGCTCAAACTTCGATACGCTCTAGACGTCTGGGTCTTAAAAATGTTTTCCCAATGTCTTATCAAGGGCTGCTGGTAGGTGTAGAAAGACGGTTTGCGTAGAGACGGTAAAAAATGATTTAATACGTCTAACAGGACACGGTAAAGCAGTAAAACCCACAATCTGAAAACATCTGGACAGAATTCAACATCCATAACTCATTCGCTTTCCCCTTGTATTTGCTGACATATGGCGATTTCAAATCTTTGTTTTCCTAGGGAGGGGGCACGGCCAAAATTCAAATCCTAAAGAAAACACTACCATACAGGCGGACATTCATGCCAAGCTGACCACCTGTGCTTAAACTGGTTGCCATTTCACACAAATGGAGAGCATTTGGTTCCCACAGCTGATGACTGCATTACCCGCAGCATGAACCTCCCGCATGGGAATTTGCAACTTGCCCCTTAATTGAAGACAGATGCCACCAGAGCCAATCTGATGGTTATTAAAAGAAAGAACTGCAACGGATCATTTCTTCAGACGCACTGATAAAACTTCCTTGTTCCTCTAATAGACAGGCTTTACACTGATCCAGGCAGCTTGAATTCCTTTCTTTAAACAAAACAAACAGATGAATAAGCAGAGCAGATGCCGGCCAAGATACAGCACTCATGCAAATAAAAAGGAAATTTATACCGAGTCATCACCGCAGATACGCTAAAAAGCTCGCTCTTCAGAAATACACACTGACAAAAGTATACCTTGAGCCAAGATCTTAGGCTTGACATGTTATAGGAAAAGTGTCCTCAGGGGGGTGAAAAGTCTCTGGAGTATTTTTTTTTTTTACTATTGACAGTCTGTTAGTGTTATGAGGGAAGTGAAACCAGTGAACATGTCTGCAGAGGAAGCCAAAGGAAAACAACACTTCTCCTCTTGTGGAGACATGCCACTTTCTCTGTCTCTTCAGGAAGGCTTACAGAGGGCACAGACAAGGCAGTGGGGACATGACATCATATTTAATCCAAAAAGTCTTTGTTGAATACCAAGACTTTTGCCAATTCATTGACGCATTATCATTTAAATGCAAAAGTAAGATGTATCACAATGTTCAAACATGTCTGTGAAGATTCTCAGTCATCCAGGTCATGGTTATTCCCATAGATTAATCGTAGCAACTGGACTTGCTTGAGTTCTTTGAAGACGTTTCACCTCTCATCCAAGAGGCTTCATCCTAAAGGAGCCAGTAACACCTGAGTTTCAATTGGGGGAGGAGCAACCACCCACAACTGAAACAGAAACTCAGGTGTTAATGGCTCCTTTAGGATATAAGTATCTGGAAGTCTCAGCTAGTCAGTCAGAACTGATGAAGCCTCTTGGACGAGAGCTGAAACATCTTCAAGAAACTTGAGCAAGTCCAGCTGCTCCGATTAATCTACAAGAATAACAACGTTCAAAGACAACCGCCAACTGACGACACGCACAACAAATGACGTTCAGTTTGGGCATCGGAAACCAAAAAAAAAAACATAATCAGCCTTTTGTGCAACAATTAAAAATGCAAATTGATTTTCTCTGGTGCAGAATGAGTTGATGGGAGCAGGAACTAAAAATAGCCCAGAAAATTCCTCCTGTAATTCTCTCTCACAGTCCGAGACCTACCGCATCACGATGAATGAAGCTGGAAGCATGACATAAGCCTCGTGGGACATCTATAGCCAATCACGGTGGAGCAGATTTCCATAAGACACCATCAGTCGGGACGGATGTTTACCTTCAGAGCAAATAAAAACCCAACCTGGCATGGCTTTCAGAGGTCCAGGGTCCTACTTGCTAACTGAGTCTTTATTATTTCAGCATCGGTGCCATGTTTATCTTGCATGACCTCTCCGTTGCCCTCTTACCCCATCCAGCCCCGCAGAAAATACCCCCCGAAAAACAGCCTTTCTGTGAGTGCCCTCTTTCCCACATTACTCCTGCAGTCGGTCCCCTGACACACGGGCTTTAAGAGACTAACAGCTTTTCATTCACTGGGGGAAAACAATACGCCCTGATGGTTGCTCTTCATCTCAATCAAATCCACATCCTTTACAAAAGGCGCTGCCCCAACCTTCCCACAGACACACAACATACGAGCTTCTTATGTCCGCTGCATTTCTAAGCATGCTGCCTGGATGTGATAAGTGATCCATCTCCACGAGCACCCACAGGGCACTTTGAAGAGTTTTGCCCATATGGTGCACGTATACTCAAGCCGAAATAGCCCTTAATGGGAGAATAATTGTTTCCTACTGCTGTGAAAAAGGAGAAATAGCTATTTTCACCTCCTCCACCAGCGACCTATGACCGCAGAATGCATACCTGGCAAGTGAGGCTGGCAAGTGCCATCTGAACGGGCAAACGACAAGTGAAGTCTTCCAGTTCTTTACAATTATAAACGGTAGACAACCAGAGGGTAAGCGGTCCTCCATACTGTCCCACCGTGATTGGAGGGGAAAGGGCAGAACTAGCTGAGTAAAATTAGATGTCAAGGCTTCAAATAGAATTGGCGTGCGCCCTTTTAAAGGTACATTACACCACATCTGCAGGCAAAAAGCTCCCCGGCGGCTTTATGAGAGCCTGTCAGTGTTGCAATGACAAAAACACAAGAGTCAGACCTCCCTCGGGTGTCTGGAATGCTAAATCACTTATGGCACTCACTCTCCGCTTTCAAATAAACACAATGTTGTTAGGTCTTGTTTAAAGCCAACCTTTAACTCTCACAGTGTAACCCTAGCTCTAACTTGTAAAAAAAAAAAACCTGGAACTTACGGGCCTCATGAGATCCAGGTCCACCGCCTCCAAGCAGCATCAAAAAAAAGCAAAGAACCACTAAATCACAAAGAGGGTGACTTATGAGAAGCTAAGATGCAGGGTTTTAAAATCTCCGTGGATGAAGCCACCTTTGTATTCGACAGCTCTTGTAATTTTATCACAGCTGCAGCATACCAAGACTCGGGCCAAACTCTGAGATCCAAGACACACTCGGGCAGCTTCCTGTCTGGACCACCTATAAGACAGCGCCGGTCATCTCTCCGAGGCAAACCTCTATCTGAAACGAAGTTGAGACTTTATTGTCCGAAAGGTCAAGTGAGGTCAAAGAAGCAGAAGATGGAACTTTTCAGCGGTAATTGATTGATTTTTGTCCCATTCTTCTTTAACAGCTGGTGGGGAGAGCCACTGACCTATGAACAAGCTGCATTTAAAACCCTCACTGTTTCTCACTGGGGCGCTCATTAGGAAAAACAATTAGGCTTGCCGGGGCCAAGTATGGGCACCATAGGGGGGCAAAATAGGATGCAGGGGAAAAGAGGAAATGGCAAATGATTCAGCTGCAGCATAAAGATTAGTTTAGTCTGACATGAGTGTTACAGGGGGAAAATCTCATTCCCTAAAAAAAAAAAAAGAAGGAAAAAAAAAAAGTACAGACAGCAGCAGCAGCTGACCAAAGTTCATTCAACTGAGAGTGTTTTACTTCAAAGACAAACACGACTTATCTGACTGAAACTCTGCAGCACCTCAGGTTATGAAGTCATGTGAGGCAGAACATGCATTTCAAATCTGGTGCCAATATATCTGTAAGCAATGCAAAGTTAAAGGCAAGACGAGGTCATCATCAGGAATGTTGTGAAAGGGTTTGGCCAGAAGTCACAAGCAAACTACATGATGTTTTGTAGCTTTGACACTTAGCAACGGTTAATCTCTTTTTTTTTCTTTCCTCCTGAAACTGAGTAATTGGTCGTTTTAATCCCTCTATTCTTCTTTTTTTTTTCTCACAACCCGAGTAGGAAAGACAATAAAATATGTCTCCAAACAGCTCTAAAATAAAAATCTAAATACCGACAGAATAACCAGCAACGTTTGACATGTACAGTAGCCTGTCTGACCGGAGCTAACCCAAAGTTAGCTAAGATTGACGTAAACTTGTCCAAAAACAACAAAACGCACTTCACGTACCGAATTCGCCAACTTCTCTCCTTCCCCCGGCTGTCCCTCGGTTAAAAACTTTTCTCTCTGCTTTCTCGGTGGAAGAATGTTGAAGTTACTCCGTTCGTTTCTTCCTTTCACATGGTACACGCAGTTCGGACACACGCATCCCCACGGCAGGTCATCAGCTCGCGGCGCGTCCGACAAGCGAACACACACACTGATGCTTGTGCTGCGAAGAACCAGCGCTGCCTTCACTGCCTGTCGGAAATACGGCACCTGGCGGGCAGACGCCAGAAAAAAAATGTCTAGAAAAATCGCATTCATTTCAACAACTCGATATTGTGTATCTTACACTCCCCCCTGCTACTTTACCATTTAAATAATTTAATAATACCAGCCTCGATATAGCTAGTATGGCGATAGGTTGCACAGTTTTGTTTATAATTGCCACGTCCCAACAACAAATAAAATACCTCAAAGAGAACACATGAGCATTAATATTTTCTTCTTTTTTTTAAGCTAACTTTTGAAATAAACAACAATACGCAGCAAACTATGAGAAGTTACTTGTGGCAAGAGTTCCTATTTTTTCCAGAGTGGCCTGAATGCAGCGGAGGAACGCCTGTTTTTGACAGGCCAAGAGTCAGAGGTGTTCCCACATCATAACAGCTGGACTGCATGGTTTGGTCACATCTTTCAGAGCGAGGCAAGATAGTTTTAAACCAACAGAATGCTGGAAGTTAAAAAAAAAAGAAAAGAAAAAAAGTGGGTTTTGTTTTTTTTTACTTGCACTGTTGGAATCTGCATGCAAACTCAATGACAGGCTTGTGAAAGACATAACAAATTGTAAACCTGCCAATTACATTTATGAGGGTCAGGTCAGGAGAATGGGGGGCTCACAAAGGATGGCTTCAGTGAATCAATTGGGTGGGTGCTAATTTATGTGGGGTGCTTTTTTCTTCTTTTTTTTTTTTGGCTTTGCACGACCCCCTCTCTCTGCCATCCTCATGGAAATAATCCTGAGATCCCATAGAAAGCTGAAGAAAGACATATGCTGGATGACTTTAGTCAAAGAGTCGACAGCTCTCATTGTCGTCGACACAGATGGACTGAACGTGCTTCGAGCAATCTGCAAAGCTGTCGTAAAGGCAAAAGATGTGCAGTGATTATATATGAAACTCTATGATTGCTGTATAATTGGATGTATAGAGTTCAAAGAGGCTATTCACATCAATAAACTGGCTGCACAGTGGCTTAATTAAAGTTGAGCATCTGACAGACTGGTGTTGCCATCTGCTGGTGATATTGATACATCTCTGGACCAGGCCTTACTCAGTATGCTGTATTGTTTAAAACAACGTAATACAAGCAGACAGTGTATATGGCCACTATGGGACTGTGGTTTATGCTTTAGGACAATTTAAACCTATTATTTGAAATGATAAGTCCTCTAAGTGTCACCCACCTCCCACTAGAGGTCCCTGATGCACAAGTTAAAGTTGTTGATGAAAGACAGAAGATTCAGCGCAGCCTTCTACAGTTCAAATAACTTCTTTAAAAGTTCATATCCTTGATTTTTTTAAACCATCTTTTGTAGGCAACACTGTGCAAGAACATTTAAACTGATGATGTCTCCTCTAGTTTACTTTCGGTGCCAGAATGAGGGTCACTGAATATCTGACAGACTGAAGAGATCAATACACAGCAGCTGTGTGTGAATGAAGTCATGCAGTAAAGTAGTAAGTAATGTAGTCACTTAAGGCGTTTAGTCTCCAGAAGAAGAAGAAAAAAAGAAACATCCATGTATTGTAAAACCAGCTCTCATTGCAATTTTTATGTAACTGAATGTAGCTACACCAGTTGTTCACATGTAGTGCAGGTGGTTGAAAAATGTCTTTATTGGAAATGCTAAGTATAACAACCACAACCTATTGTTGTATAACGTCAATGGGGAGCTTGGGTGATTGTTCACAGACTGTGGTGTGACACAAAATGTCACATCCACGGTGTGAAAGTAAGTCAGAATAGGAAGCTGACGTATCAGACCATAGCATAGCTAACCTCAAAAACCAGCTAAAAAAAAAACGTAGAGGTACTTTGCACATGGTGAAGCACGATATACGGCAACAAAACTCAGAAAATGTAACCACAGGGGACTACAAACACATCACAAATTGCAGAATGAAAGTCCACAATTGCACAAGAATGAAATGAAATCTAGCATTTCCAAACGTGTGAAGCAATAAAATGCAGTCATTGATGCAGCAGATACAGAGTGTATCACGTTGGTGTCAAGATAGCAAACCCAAGACCTTCCTCCCAAACATGCTCGAACACGACGGCCTCTTTCACAAGACATTAAACACTCAATGAACGTGAGGTAACATTTTTATTTAGTATGAACATCATGATACTGTTAAAGCTAAGAGAAACCTATATCAGGTCATATGTACAATTGTTTTGCTGAGTTTAAAATGTTGAATGTTCAACAGCAAGGGTGAGTAAGCATTTTTGTTGATATATGAATAATGCTTGTTCCAAAAACACATTTTCAAAAAACAAAAAACAACTAAATCAACCAACAAAATAACCTTCAAGTAAAATATTACTTTAAGTTCTATGATTATGTACAACATCGGGCCTGTATGTGGAATCCAGTGAAGTATGTAACAACAGTGTATAAAACAGATTAGAAACAGATCGAAAGAAGCTGGTGTGGCAGGACCTCAGGATGGCGAAGGATCACCAGGACAATTCATAAGTTTCCCAGAGTTTGGTTATGAGAAAAAAAAAAAGCTTTTCATTGACAACTATGAGATCACTTAAGCAGGAATGTGTAGACAAGTCGGTAACATCTATACATTTAAATGGAAAGATATTCTGTCACCACACTAATGGAAATCCTTCCCTTTTAACCTGAGCACAAACCGTTATCTAACGACTCATTTTAAGAGGCTACTGCATTAAAAACAACAAGTTAAAAATCTAATTAGATATCACATTTTATCAGTTGAAGGCGTTCTGCCTTCTTTGTACAACACCCTCAAAACACATCAATATACAGAGAAAATAAAAACAGGGTCTCCTGCAGCACTCAAACTTAGCCAACGGACACGTTTCCTCTCTCGTCAATCTGAGTTTGTTCGGTGTATGACACAGAGCCAACCATCAGCGCCACTTGCTACCGGGGTGGGGGGTCAGAGGTGAGGACTTGGGGGGTCAGATGGGCTTAGTGGTGCTGTTGTAGACCAGACGCTCTCTGTCTTCTATCGAGGTAACAGGGGCGTTGTTGACGGGCACGCGGTGGTGCTGTTGAGTCTTCTTTCCCTTCGTTAGGCAGTAAACCAGAATGCCCAGCAGGATGACGACACCCAAACCCAGGAGGGCCGCTGCCACGTAAGTGCCTGTTCAACAAATTAAAAATAAATATGACAAAAGTCAACTTGGTGGCTGCTCATCCGAAGACGACACAAGTGGACGAAGCAGATTGATGCAAGTCAGTGAAGTGGAAAAGTGTGCTGGAAGAGAGAAACGCTTTGAAGGCTTTGCTGAACAGAAAAAACACAACACTGGAAAAAAAGCTGATGGAGGAGATGTTGGGTTATTTGAAGCTGTATAGGTGTAGAGTGAAAACAATGAAGGGTAATATACCTATCTGGCTTTCAGACTCCCTGCGTTCAAACTCCTCCCTTCTTGCAAACACGTCCTTTTCTGGAAAAAAAAAAATACATTATATAATTAGAGAATTTTTACGGCACTCTTGGGGGCAGCAGAACCTGTGACGAAAACACTGACTTAAGGATTCCTATTTGTAGATCCAGCAGTCATGAAGTTTGGAGTCGTGCTCAATTCTGTTCTGGTCTCCAACTTCTGATGCAAATATCTGGCAGCTTAGCAGCTAAATGTTCACCAGCTAGTTGCTCATTTTCTCTGTCGGCTGTTTGACACTTGATCCACACAAATAATAATTACAGCAGCTTTAGGAATTTCATTTGTCACCTCGTTAGATCAACCACAAAAAAAAAACAACCATACATTTAAATTTTAAATAGTATTCAATAGTAGTTTAAAATCAGTTTCGAATGTTAACAGAGTAGCAGAACATAAAAAATTAATCGGTTCGATGTTCCTCTTGGGTCACTGCACCATACATGATAGTTAAATAGAAAACTAACCGAGCAGCCTGGAAACTTATACAGCAGCAAATGAGAATGACAGGCTGAACAAAACCAGTGCATTACAAAAAAAAATTAAAAATGTGTGGAAACAGTCTAGGATGTGGGATCTTCTGTGATTTAGTGCAACAATCTTAGTAATACAAATACTTTACCAGTACGTAATGCAAAAAAGGGGGCAACCGTTTGTTAAATGTCCACCACCCACCTGTTACTCCACGGCAAGTTTTCATACAGGACTCCTTGGATTCAAATCTGTTGTCATTTCCCTGGCAGCCACCGTAGTTGAAGCGCAAGCAGCTCTGCTGGACGGGGTTGTAGTACCACTTGGTGAAGCTGTCTCTGCAGTTTCCGGTGTCGGGAAGCTCCGTGCAGCGCACTGTGAATGACAACCGGTGAGGTGAGACTGTATACAGTAGAAACTGATAGCAAGAGTCTGTGTCCCATTTAAAACCAATTCTATGGTATCTTACAGAGGACGGGTTAGAAGGCAGAAATCAACAACAACAACAACAAAAAGACCTGAAGCTCAAATCACCTTTTTGTTCGTCCACCGGAATCTGCCGCAGGATCTCAAACTTGTTGTCCACTGAAACACACGGGACATCATTCAAATGAGCATGTCGTTTAAAGAAACATTTTTATCAGTGTGTTCTATTTTTATTTCCGTGAGCCTGTATGAAAATGGGGCCCCGTTTGCATAGTTGCTCACAGTCAACGCAGTTTTGTTCATCTGAGCCGTCGCTACATTGCGGGGTAGAATCGCACTCCAGTCCTGGATCCAGACAGCAGCCGTTAGCGCATTTGAACTGCTTCGGGTTACATGGGGTGCCACATTTTTCACCTGTGCCAAAAAAAACACAGAGGAAACAGTCATTAGTCTTGCACCACAATGATAATTTTACAACAGTGCATCCTGGTCGCTCACACTGATGAACTCACGGAGAGTTTTACAGTGTTTCAGCTCACTGATAAGCTGTCCGGCTGTAACTTTACTATTTTGGTTCACAGTTGGTCACTGGTTTACCATCGTGAATCATTTAGCATCTCGCTACATATCACGCTCAAAACTGTTTTGTTTCTTTCTTTTAAAAAACACAATCTGACCAAAGGAAACAGTTCATTTTTAGAGATGTTTTTTTTAAATGAGACACGTAGAATGAAGATGAGGGTAAAGTATCACAATTATAAGTCTAGATCTGGTGCTAAATTAAGGTGGTATGTCACAGATGTTGCATTGTCAGAAAGTTGAAAATGATTTCCCAGTTTCTGGCTCTGATAAATGACGTAATTGTGTTGATTATTTGAAGAAAATATACTTTTAAAATGTGGGGGCGGGTTTTCAGTATTACTTCAGGAGATAGCAAGAGTTTAGTGTCTTATCCATCCCAGACGTGCGTTCTGCAAAACTTACTAATTAAATGATCCTGAAGAAACGCTCTCTCATCTTGCCTGTACTACTGCGTATGTACAGCAAAATGACAATAAACTTGATTTTATAAGGTGGTGACAGATCTTGTTTATGGGGCTCTTGAGTGGCCATCCATCCATCATCTATACACCGCTTAATCCTCACTAGGGTTGCGGGGGGGACTGGAGTCTATCCCAGCCGACTTAGGGTGAAGACAGGGGACACCCTGGACAGGTCACCAGTCTATCACAGGGCTACACTTAGAGACAGACAACCAAGCACACTCACATTCACACCTACGGACAATTTAGAATCATCAATTAACCTCAACATGTTTTTGGACCTTGTGGGAGGAAGCCGGAGAACCTGGAGAGAACCCACGCTGCACGGGGAGAACATGCAAACTCCACGCAGAGAGATTCCGGTGCCCCCACCAGGACGCGAACCGGCAACCTTCTTGCTATGAGGCAACAGTGCTAACCAACTGCACCACTTTGCAGGAATCAGCCGTGAACCAGGTTTGAACTCAAGACAACGGAATCAGCCGTGACCCAGGTTCTCTTGAGTGGCCAAATTAATTATTTTATTATTTATAATTTCAGTTTAACTAGTGACCAGAAAATCTGGTTCCAAAGACAAGGAGAACCATGTTTCCTGTGACCAACAGTAGAAAAAGAGACCGACAGACATCAGCATTTACATATTTGGATTGGCTCATGTTGCCTCTACTCGTTACCTTAAAAAATAAATACCTTAAAATCCAAAAAAGGACAAGAATGTTCCTTTTGCCTTTAATCCTCAGAAGCCAGTATACATGCTGTTACATCATTTACTTTTCTACTCGTTCAAAAAAAAAAAAAAAGTACTACAATTATGACAGATATGACAAGATAAGTAAACTGTGTGAGAAGCTCAAATACATTCACCAGCAACGAGCAGAATGAATGAACATACCTTGAGGCGTAGGAATAGGCAAACCTCTCCCAGCTACAGCACCTTTCTCTGAAAGAAAAAAACAAATGAGATCATTGGTTAAAAACAATATATTTACAAGACAAACAGCAGCCACTTTGAGGTTTTCTCTGAATAAAAGGTGGTTGTTTTAACTGCTGACAGCATTAATGCCACGCTGAGCAGGATGTGGACATCTCTGACGGGAGGAAAATTCAGCGTTGCCATAAAACAGACACTGTAGAAAACATCAGTGGGATAAAAAGCATTTATCCACCATGATGGTCTCCTTTTTCTTTTAAAACATAAAATGGTAAAAACAAAACAAAACAGTGCACTGTAACTAAACAGCTGCATAATATAATTTAATGCCATGCTTTAATTTTGGTAGGTTACATCACTATAGAAAGACGTTTCTGGGTTTAAAAGTAACTGGACATAAACACGTAAAGTTTAACAGCCTATTCAAGATTTTGCAGAAAATTATTAGCGATGACCGAAACAGTGGAACCACAGACATCTGCTGCCTCTTTGGATCGTTGTGGCGATGCTTTCCCAGGTATTTCACTCAGGACAAATAAAAGTCTTGCTTGTTGTGGAGCCTCTTTGCTTTATTTAAGTTCTCAGCATGTGGACTGGAGCACAGTCAGACTGAGATCAGGTCACTGACTCGCCCAGTCAAGGATATTCCACCTCTTCAGCCAGAAAAGCTCTTTGGCAGCTTTGACTTTATGTTTTGGATGATTGTGTTGCTGTGAATTTCGATGCATTCCACTGTATACGTCTTGCATTCACCCCGATGCTTCTATCACTAGTGACATGCCAGTGAGCTAACTGAGGTGGCAGCAGTGATACAACAGAAGAGGTGGTACTTTGGCTCAAGAGCTGTTCTTCTCCTGTTCACTTTCCTCTTTAATAAAGGATTTTTGTTTCATCTGTTCACAGAACTCAACTGGTTTCTTCATGTATGTTGTTGTAAAGCGCAATCTTCCTTTATTGAGGTTTACCAGAGTTTTGAATGCTGTAGTGAAACCTTTTTTGTCAGGAAGTCCTGCACCATAGAGAGCATTTACAACTTGCTGTGCAGTCATCACATACCATAAAAATGATATTTATGCTCCTCAGTCTAACAAACCATTTGCCATTTTTTAGTTTTCATGTGTACACTTCCTGTTTTTTTGCAATCTGGTAGATTTCTGCTTTTTTTTTTTTTTTTAGCTTCATTCTTATCTCTTTCACTTGCGTGGTTCGCCTCAGACAGCTGCCTAACACACATTTAGCAACCAAGTGTACAACTGCTTTTGAACCTTTGCAACATGAGCACTACGGAATAAAGAGTTTGATCTTTCATGTTTTTTTCTATGCTGATGTAAAACTTCCTCAGTTGAAAGCTTAGATTTGGCACATTAACGTAGTATCAGTTATTCTAATTATTTTACTTTAAGTAAAAAGCCAGAAGAACAAAAAAAAAATGTGCAACTGCCCAAACACTTACGGTCCGGTCTGTGTATTTGTAACATAATCCAATTAATTAAAAGTTTCCTATACAAGGTGTGATGAAAAAGTTCTGGGACTGTTTAAATGCAGGAATCGCATCAGGATCATGTGTTGCAACGTGTGTGAACAGCAAATCAGTGTTTGATCTGTGTTCCAATTTCTTTCAATTTCTTTCAAACTGGAACAGAAAAGGAAACCACCAGCTGAAAAAGACGCGTCACGACAGACGTCAGGAAGACTGAAGCGACAGTCGAAGCATGTCAAGGTACAAACAGCTCCTATCTAAAAAAAAAAAAAACTCATTGTCTGACAAAAAAGAAAACTTATATCTCAAATCAGAGTAGACAAAATGAACCTAATCACGCTAGAAAAGAAAATGACGCATTGTCAGAATGAGCCTACATTCATGTTGCCAAACATCAGCGGTGACAAGAAGACGAGAGGTGAAGCTGTAGCTATGATCTCAGCCGTTTCCACAGGGAACGAGGCCAGTCTGAGACCAAACAAGGAGCATCAGGTCAGGAGCCCACCTGAACAACGCTTGTTGGTTGTGCACTGAGCTCTACTGTGTATGTGGAAGAACATTCGAATGATCTGAGCCGTGAGGCAATGACATATGGGTGCTCTAATGAGGTGAGGTTTATTGGTCTCACAGTTTTAGCACTGTTTAGGAGATTCAGCGCTCACTGCAAATGGTTCTCGACATATTTACCTCTAGGGAGTGTGACAAGCATGCTGGGAGTGCTGCATTGCTGCACAAGGTGACTATGTTGGTTGGGGACGGCAGCCAAATTTAAATCAGGTATGGTCTGTTTTTTTAATAACTCTGATCGTACCTTGAATACCATCACATATCCATACAAGCACAACATGTACAAAACACAGCAGTATAGAAAATTGAAGTATACAACCCCTGAGGACGAATACCTGAGCTATGGCAGGCGTTGGAGCACTCATCCTTGGAGAGATAGTTGTTGAGATTCTCCCTGCAGCCCCCGAACATGAACTCCTCGCACTTCTCCGAAGCAGCGTTGTAATGCCAGCGAGGGAAGGAACCTCGACACGGGCCGATCTTCTTCGGAGCCATACAGTGATCTGGTGGGAAACAGAGCGAAGGATTAGTTTCGATTCACGGCTAAATATGTTTGTTTTGCGAAGACTTCCTAAAAATCTTTTGCACCAGTACACACATTAAATATCCCCAGCAATATTGTCACAGTGTTAATAATTTAATTAATTTAAAAGAGAATCTGAGCCTTTGTAAGACACCTTTCTAATCCCCACTGATTCTACTTACATCCATCCTTAATTTATTTACTGCAATTTCTGTTTGAGACTAGGAAAGGGGAAATAAAGAACTTGACATCCAGTCTTACAGCCTTGTTCATTTCTTGCTGCTTTGAGGACTTGTTACCAGTGTCACTCTCTGATTATGTTGGAATGTTTTGCAGATTGAGCCATGATTTTTCTTGTGTTTTATTGGTTGCTTTGTCTTTTTCACTTTTGGGGTTTTGGGTTGTCACTGTACAAATATTCTGCATAAAATCTGTGTTCACTACTACTTTTTACTTTATGCTGCTGTGTAATGCACAAAGGAAATCTTTTCATTGTTAATTCTCTTGTTTGAAAATTCAATAAAAAGATTGTTGATTCGAAAAAAAAAAGAGAGAGAGAATCTAAAATGTGTGGAAGAGTCCAACCACACAGAAAGCTGTTCAACGATCCCTGTCTGCATTTTGCTGAAACAAATCACAACAACAAGAAGTCAGGTAAAGACCACTTTCTTTCTTTGTAACTTTAAAGTGGAAATTCACAGAGTTTACGCACCCTGACTCACGGTGCTTTCACTATTGTGGCAAGTCTAAAATGTACATGTATTGCAAAAGTAAGGGAGGGTCCACGACTGTCAGCAACAGTGATGGGACAAACAAAAAATAATATAACCTGAAGTCCCAGCATATGTAGAAATGCCTCAACCCTTGTTTTGAGAGGAGAGAAGCAGGCGATGTTGAGACTGGATCGGAGCCAGCATGGAGAAAAATCTCCCAGATGTCATTCAATAAATAGTGTTGAGGCATATGCTAAATAAATAAATACATTTTCTGAAGCAACTTAAACCCTTTTGCTCGATTTATCCAGAGATACAACTGTGTGTGTCCATGTTGCAACCATATCTGATTTTCCATGTTTTTTTTTTATATTTGTGAAATTTTATCTCAATATATCAAATATTTCCTGTGATTTTTAAAAACATATTATTGTCTTAATTGCCTGTTGAGCCACTTTCAGTACATTTTTATGTGTTATTGATTCGATAACATCCCTCCGCTCGCACACCGATGTCATGTATGATTATGTACGGGCTGAAAAAAACTAGGTTTGCTCACAAATTATGTCACTAAGGATTACTGATGATTAAAAACTAGTTATAAATAGGTTAATGTGCATCGGATGACCTGACTAAACATTTGAAATCCATAAACCAGTTTGACTAACCATTAATTGTGTCTGTCTGGTGTCTGGGACCAGTTTTGGGGAGATTTTTCTTTTGAAGTTCCTCCTAACTGTCTGCTTTTTGAGTCTCACGAACAGACATACGATTGAGAGAGAAAACCGAAGTGGCCGGTTTCAGCAGACACTGAGCTGCACGGCATCTGCATGTGGTTGATGATACACATTTTAGGTGTCGTATAATAACAGCTATTATTACATATGACAAAGAAGCTCAGATAAAAAAGGAAGTGTAAGCCACACTTTCGTCATGAAGCTCTCATGTTATTAGCAGTCATTGGCGGAGGAGTTGAGGTGACATTTCAGCCTTTCACTGACATGTACAAGAGTGGAGTCACTGCCACGACAATACACCGAAGCACATTCCTACCGCTGTTCAAGCTGTTAATAGGTAACCGAAACACTGAGTGGTTTAAAAGTCTTTTCTTGTCCCTACAGCCACAGCCAACAACACGCAAAAGGCACAACAGAGCAAAAACAAGCCACTTTTAAAAGGAGAAAAGACTTAAATCACTTGTAATGACTACAGACAGCAATGGTGACTGAAGTGTTTGTTAACCGACGGCGAAACCAGACTGACAGGTTTTGTTGAGTCGGGGGTGGAGAGATGGTATCAGGGGAGCAGGGAAGAAAGAAAAAAAACATAACACAGCAGCTGCTTTTCTGTTTCCTGAAATACCAAGAGAGCTTTCTGTGTTGTGTTTCACCGGAAGCAACCTGGATACTAGAACTGATCCCGAGGACGCCATTTAACCAGCGAGGGTCCTGTGTTTCCGTTTCTTTGCTATCATCAGTCCAAAATCTGACGCAATGTTATTATAAATACATCAGCTTTTATCTTTCTATCCTCATTCCGTTTCGTTCTTCCAGACCACAGGTATTAGTCGAGCATGCCGGGACAGGTTTGATCACAAGTAACTTGCTCATGCTGGCGACATATGCAAAGCAGAGCAACTGATAAACCCAGTTTCCTTGGAAGTCTATTATGTAAGAGATAAAACAAAAAAGAATTACAGTCACTCGCCGGCTACGATTTCCTCAGAGCGGATGTTTTTGAGCTTTAAGGGAGAAATGTAGAAAGTTCATGAGAAATCTAAGGACTGAAGGGCATCAATCTGTCTTATCCTGCCTGTGTTTCAACATAAAACACAAGACAGGTGACTCTGAATAAGCCAAATAAAATGTCAACACGTAAAGTTCCATAGAAACATGACTCACTACAACTGAAACCGTTTCTTCACCCAAATGACCCACTGAGTCTATTTACTCAGGGACATCAGCCAACTCTGATAATAATTTACCGTCTCCGAATTGGAGAGCGATATCAATACCACGAGATTCCTGAAAAGTGATAGATAACTGATGTTGTGCATAACTGAATATGTTCAGGCAGCTTCTCGCTCCGTCTAGATACTCACGCTCAGACTGCTCAGGAGTGAGGACCAGGACGGTGATGTGGGTGGAGTCTGACTGACCGATGGAGTCCGTGACAGTCAGCTTGAACTTGTACACCCCAGACGTCAGATTGGAAACAATGATCTGGTCGGGAAAGTTGGTCGACTGCGGGGCATGAAAGTAGATTTACAGTTAAAAAGTTGACAGAGTAACTGACATTATAGTGTTTTTCTCAAGTTCCTCAAAGAAGAATCTGTGACAGGATGGTAGTAAGATCAGGTGGTCACCCTAATGATAGCGTGAGGATACTCGGTGAGCATTTGCCAATTGTAGGATGCGATCTCCTTGTCGTCTTTGCTCTGGATGCCGTTCAGCGACACGCTGTCCTGTGGCTGGACCACCCGGTCTGGGCCTCCGTCGGCCACAGGTGGACGGTCAGAATCATCTGGAGGGACACCGAGAGAGATCAATATATTTACACAAACAAGCACTGCAATAACCTGTACATAGATTTTTTTTTTTAAAACAGAAAAATGCAGATGTAACACCTGCTGACATTAAGATAAGCTGAGGAGGAAACAGAAACCAGGCGCCATTATTAGTCCCTGACATGTGGGAACATGCAAAGCTGAAGGTTTCTTCTCTAAAAATCTGTGGCTTCACACATCCTCATTACACACTGTGCTCACCTACAATGTGGATGGAGAATTGGATTTTGGGGATATTTATTTGTATAGTTTTTAAAAGGGAATCTCTCAGGCACAAATGAAGAAAGTATGCCACAATGCAAACTGTGTCATATCTCATCTTTTGTAAGCATGACAAACCAACCATAGATACAGAACCCTTAATGAAAAACTGATGCGCAATTTGAAGTTCGGTTCCTACCTGGGGCAGCATCCACATTCAGGTAACTCTCATAGACGGAATCCAGGATGTTGCTGGTGTATCCTCTCTTCCTGACAAAGCGACAGGCGTATTTCTTTTTGTACAGACAGTCAAACAGAAAGCAGGACTTGACCGAGCCCTCCTCTTCTCCCTTCTCCATGAAGGCGACGTTGCACCTGGTGTCCTTGCAGCAGGCTTGTACGCAGTCCCGGTCTCGGTCCAGTTTCGGCGACGACAGAAACGTGGCTCCGTCTTTCACTGATTCGTCGGCATCGAGCACAAAATTGTCCCGACCTTTCTTGAATTTATTGAAACAGTTTTCACCGAAATCCTGAGCCGCCGCGGAGTTGAGAAAAACTACGAGGAGCAGGAGCGACTGTCCTTTAATGAATGCGTTCATTTTGGAGTCCCGTGAGGATTTGCACGCAGTTAAGTCAACTGGAACGACGGTGAAAGGAGTAGAAAGTGAAGATATAAATTACAGTTTAAATAAAAAAAAAACTATTTAAAGCGATCTTTAGGCCGCAAAGGAGCAAACAGAGACACTCGGTTCCTTCTCACCTCTCAGTGAAGTGGTGCGTAAAAGTCCCCCCTGGTTTCACTGACCTGCCTCCACAGAGCTCCCCCACACTGGTCTGATACTTCACAACTCTGGAACTCTCACAAGAGATTAACCTGTTTGATGTCGACAAACAGCTCTGCAATCGACGACATTACGCAGGTGACTCACCTGAGAGATCCAGGAAGTGAAATTCCACTCCTGATGCCACTCCCTGCGGCCGAGGCCCCAAACACAACACGGCCGGAGCTCAGAGAGAGAGAGAGAGAATGGAAAGCATCAGTCAGTAGGATACACTTTACATTTGTAGGTTATTTTAATTAGGCAGTTTCACCACAATGATTTATATTTCTTTGTAAGTTATTATTTTAGGATTTTGAACGATTGAGCTGGTCCTATAATTAATGAGTTCATTGTCAGATGCAGAACTTCATTATTTTTGCATGAACATCAGGGGAGGAGCCACCGGGTGGCAACGACACAATACAGTCTGGCCACCCCACAAAGTCAATATTAAAGCTTGTCAGAAGGCATTGTACTAATTAAACTAGATTCACATCCACTAGCTTTATTTTTGCAGAACCTAACCTCTCTCTAATGCCACTGTCTCCACACAGATGCATTTAACAGAATAAAACCATCCATTCAGCCACATGAAGAAATGTTAACACTGATTTTTTTTTTGCTGATTCACACATTTTGTATAAATGTCTTGAAAAGCGTGTAGATAGTGTAAAAATCCACCTGTTTTTAAATGTAAATCCATTATGTGTTTGTAAAAGAATAGCTCATTTGCAAAAACAGATAACTCCATTTTTGTAGATTTTCAGAAAACACTTTTTTTTTTTTGTTTGCTTGAGATGATATCAATCAAACTGAAGTTGAGTGGATTTGACTCAATAGAAATGACATGACAAAAGTAGAGATAACTTAAGTTTGATTGATGAGAAGTGGGTTTTCTAAATGTTTGTGAAGATGGAGTTATCTGTTTCTGCAAATGAACTCTTCAAATGTTTTTTTTTTGTGTATGATTAAGGTTCAGCTGTGGATTTTTTCTAACCTCTTGTACGAGCCCTGTTCAGACCTGCCCCTGCCCCGTGTCCACAGTCTTACTAGGTCAGAACCAGTCACGTTTCTGTGTCACTTTCAACATTGCACGAGTCTGACCTGCGACGTCACATTCACGGATAAGCACGCGCAAACAAAGGCATTAAAAAGTGTGTGAAGTAATTTAGGGAAGGCTTTTCTGAAAGACTGTGGGGATGATGCGTCCTCTTAAGAGCTCTGGGAACATGTGGCGGAAACTGCTGCAAGACTGACTCAGAACCGACAGACAAAAGAAAGAAACTAAAGGCAGGATGGACGCAGTGTGATGCCACATGAGGCTCTTATTTGTACCCTTCTTATGTAATTTATATTGTAGTTTTCTTACGAGTTTTTTCAACAGTTAAACAAACACAACACTCAAGCAGTTGAGGGTTATGTACTGTATATGAGTTCTCATGTATTTCTACATGGCAGTGTTGTCTGCATCAGCAAATGAGAAGAAAAATGACAATGTGGCCGACAGCAATTTACTGAAAAAACCCCAAAGCATTGCATCACTTGAGTAAGTGGTTTCAACCCCCTATTAACATTTTCTCCACCATTGATGTAAAGTTGTGAACAAAAGTTTACAGACGCTTCTAAAGACATGAGTTAATGGCAGGCTTGAGTTTCCAGTGACTCTTAGAAACTGGAATTTTCTGTGATGGAATTATTAAAACCCACACGTCTTTGTCACAAAAAACAGTGATGCTTTGTTGTTCTTTCATAGATTTGACCTCTTAAGACCCGAGCTCTTGTTTGATGTGCATTTTTTATTACTCTTTGATATTTGATCTGATGAAATAGCAAGAGAATAAAAAATATAAAGAAAATAAAAATATATTTAAAAATATCTAAACAATATAATATATATATATATATATATATATAAATAACAATAATAAAAAATACCAAAAAATTAACTACTGTGGTAATATAACTCAAAATGTGATGTCCACACATGGATGCCAGGTCTTAAGAGGTTAATATAGATGTTCTGGGAATATGACAGAATCTGCTGGGTCAAAAATATACATACAGCAATACTATTATTTGGTTAAATGTCCACTTGGTCATTTTCACCTCAACTCGGCACTTTTGGTTGCCACCCACAAGCTTCTGGCAAGTTTCCTGTTGTATTAGTAGACTTAAGAATTTCTTTGTAATAGGACAATGGTATGAAGTTGTTAGCTGTACCTTGACATGTTTCAGCGAGGTACAGCTAACAACTTCATACCATTGTCCTATTACAAAGAAATTTTTAAGTCTACTTGTACTTTGAGGACAAAATGAACATCTTTGCTACATTTTCTTGTTGTATGTTTGACTGCTCTTTCTCAACAGAATTTGCACAATTAAACTAAATTTGTTGTCTTGGCCCCAAGCACACATCAAAATTGGTAAGGAAACGGCTAAATCAGACTAGAATTAAGGTTTTAGACATGTTCTTGATGAGGTTTAAGTTAGGACTTCAGGCAGACCAGGTCTAAAAACCTAATTCTAGCCTGATTTAGCCATTTCTTTACCACTTTTGATTTGTGTTTGGGGTCATTGTCTTGTTGGAACATCAAACCAAAAGTTTTTTTTCTTGGATATTCTAATATGGGATAAAGATTTCTATATGTAATAAAAATGACATGTTTTAAAAATAATGGTAGGGATTTTTGTAGTCCAAAATGCTTTTTGTTGTAGGATGACAACATCAAAATACAATAATAAATGTAAAACTAACAGCATAGAGGTACATAACAAAGAACAAACTGAATCACTATTATTGAATTCATGTGTAAATGAAGTTATATATATATAAGTTGGAACAGTGCAGGCAGATATGACACTCGAATTACATTTCTTATATATGTTCATGTATTTTGACAGCTATGTGCTCTCACTTTTTCAGGTGTACACGCATTAGTCCAGAAGGTGGCAGTACGATCCCACCAACAGCTGAGCAGACGGTGAACAGTTTCTGTTTATTTCTTTAAGCATTGTGCTTTTTAGCTAATTCTTCCAAAAGTATAGCGTAACCATTAACATGTGTTGACCTAAAAATTCACAGATACCCAAATCCTCTTTTCATAATTGTAGTGATACTGAGCTGATGAACACACTGACTCACAGCGTTACAGGCGGAATGTGATGAGTCATGAAGCCACACATGTACCTGTCAACAGCTGTTGAGAAGGAAGCAGGAAGTGGTCACTCAAATTATAACATGCAGATGATGATGACGGTTTAGACTTGTATACTGAATCCACTTAGTCAGAGGATAATTGGAAAAACAAAAGGGAGTAACTCCACTGCTGTTGACAGTTGGAGCCGGTATCTTCATGATCAAGCTCATGTTGCTGCCTCTGCTTTCCTTTTATCCTCCCTAGCATGAGTCACCTGGCCGGGTCCGAGGTGAGAAGGCCTAACACCGGCCTCCAGTGCCCCCCTTTTTTTTTTAGACCAGCCGACGGTGCAGAACCAAGTAGCATAAGACGGGATGAATGAATTTGTTTGCCTGGAAAGGTGAGCTGCTAGAGGCCCTCAATAATTCAGTGTTTGTAACAGACGGTGCATCAGTGGGTGAACACGCGCAGCTATGGCTGATGGATAGTCGCTGCCAAAACAAAAAACTGAACCCCATTATTCATATCGTAATAGGATCTGTGGAAACTCTGCAGCCTGTTGTCTCTGTTGTCTCACCTGTAATAATTTGGCACCGGCAGCTAACGCCGTGAATTTTTGACCTTTGGGATATGCGCTGCTGTTGATATTTGACTTCGCAAACATTGATGGTTTCAGGATTTTTATCTGACGTTTGACTTCCAAACAGCGATAAATACTTCTCTTCTGTTCATTAGTTATTTATGGACACGTAACTGAGGATGCCAATTGGACTTCAAGGCTTATTAAACGTACACCTGATAATGCCTGCTATAAAGGACAAAGGCAGCTATCACAGTAGAGGAACCCTGGCTCACCTGTCAGGGGGACCCAACTATTGTTGGAAGTGTTTGTGAACACAAGAGCCCTTAGTGTGTCAAACGCTTTTGACATCTTGAGCAGATAAATACTTTGGATGCTTCTACCGGGAGGAATAAAACGTGGCAGCGTGCCGGCATGTGTGTATATATGATGATGTGCAATAATTAGAGAGGAAAAAACAAAAGTGCAAATGTGTTTTTCCAACATATTTCCTGTTGTCAGATGGAATGTTGTACGCGCTGTTAGCCAGAGTAATAATCGTATGTTGACTGCCTTCTCCACTTTTTATTGCTGTAATTGACCTATGCTCCCCCACCTGCTATAAGACGGAGCAAAGAGAGCAAAAAGCAAACACACACCCTGAGAAGTGCATGTGCACACACACACACACACACACACATACAGATGCATGCACACACAGAGAGAGAGAGAGAGAGAGCCATATCTCATTACCATCCTCCTGATAGTGCAGCCAGTGGGTGTTGCAAGAGGAGGAGGGAAGGAGAGCAAGACAGTGAGCTTTACAGAGAGAGAGAGAGAGAGAGAGGGAGAGAGGACAGGCAAGGGAACCAGAGCCAGCATTAAAGAGAGGGAGAGCACGAAACACTCAACAAGATAACAGGAGATACGCGTGGGAACAGCAGCCCACTGGAAAAAAGCAGAAGCACAGATAGAGACAGAGGGAGTCGGCGTGTGCAGGACGAACGTGTCACAGCCTGTGGGTCTGTCTGTCTGTCTGTCTGTCTGTGTGTGTGTGAGACAGCTCGGTGTGTTTCCACGGTTCTCCCGAGGCCGTGGCAGCCATGGCGTCAGAGCCCAGCACCCAGTCCAGGGTGATGTTCCAGGCAGCGGACAAAACGGAGGAGCCGGCGCACCGAAAGCTGGGCAAGCTGACAGTCAAATACAACCGCAAGGACCTGCAGAGGAGGCTGGATATCGAGGAGTGGATCGACGGGCAGCTGCACCTGCTGTTTGACTGCGAGGTAGGAGAGGGAAGGCTCGCGCACACACACACACACACACACACTTAGATGTACACTGTTGCCTGAACAGGAGGTGAGGGAGGCACTAAACTGCTCGTAGGTGCTTGCGGTGGGCTATCCATCATGTATGAGGGATTACAGCAACCTAAATAAGGGGAGTGGGTGGGAGGCAAGACTGCTGTGCTTCATGGCTGCAATGTTTTTGGCACAGGAGTCCTCATGTGTCATCAACCTGACTGCGGTGTCAGCTGTGGGGTGTTCTACGATGGTGATGTGATTATTTTTGCAGATGTCTGATGTGTCACTAGGAAGCATTTGCAAGCATGCTGCAGCCTTAATAGAACACCTCGATGGCTTTAAGCATATGTTACTGCCATATGGCTGCATTAACAATTTAGGCATTTAGATGATGGTTTGAGACTGTGTTATAGATTCTAGTGACAATTGAAGTAAACAATATGGAGAAACAGAACAATTTGTACTGTGACTTGATTATAAATTATAACAGAAATGCTAGAAAATGTAATAATAATAGAAGGTAAGGACAGGAGTAGAGAGGATATTTTAATTTTTAAATGCACTAAATAAATGTTTTTATGTCCTGCCATAATGGTGGCATCCAGGACATTGTGTCATCATTTTAGTGTCTGTGTGTGTATCCTGTTAGTTTATAGACAGATTCACACACTCATTTACTAAGCATGCTAGAAACCACACAGATGACCCTATGTATGAGAGGAGGATTAATGATGATGTTCTGAGAGCATACAGCAATGCATGAATTAACATAAAGCAGGGAAAGATATATTTTTTTAATGCTTTAAGATTTATACTTAACATGGGGCTCGTGTTGAGGTATTAAAAGAGTTATAGCGCTGAAATATGTATGCACGGTGTGATTAATGTTTATATAGACGGTTACATTTGAATATGTGCCGGGGATTAGAGCGAGACATCAGTCAGCTTACACACACAACAACAACAACACAACCTTCATAACTCCACTCCTGTACCGTGGGATACAATCCAATTATGTCAGAGGCTCCATATTGATTTGCTTGGCATTCTCCGAGGGGGAACCATGGCAACAGATGTCTCATCGCCCACATGAGGCAGCATGAGCAGAGTGGAATTAGGGGTGTCTGTTAAGGAGCATGAGCTTCCTAATGACGATGCAGATCAGATGACAACGCCGCCTCCGTTTCATGCCGGAGAAGGCAGAGACAAAGTGTTTCTCATTTAATTCCTGAACCACACAGAGACCCTCGGCTGTACGTGGCGCAGAGCCACATCTCCGCCTGGCATCCCCTTACACTGCAGAGGAGCCCTTTGCATATGGTATACACTAATGCTGCAGAAAGTGAGCAAGCATGCACATCCATCCATCTGGCTGGCTGACCTGAAAGTTCTTTGGAGTAAATGTGGCGATAAGCAGCTAACATCTCCTAATCTAGATCCGTGGATATTCAGGGTTAAGCCTGCCAGGTTTAATGTAAAAACATTTTAGTCACAGCAGGGCGCTGGGGATTTTCAATATTGTTTAAATATTTTCCGTATCACAATACTTCTCTTATGAGCTTTATTCCATTTGCACCCTAGCCTCCTTCCCTGTGGTAATATATGGTAATATGCTAGCGAGGCTGAGGGTGGAATAAATCACATTAGTGGAAACCAGGACATGCGGAAAACAAAACCAGATCTGAAGTCGTTCTCTGTCTACGCTTTTGATCTCGTCCCAGAAACATATAATTATTTCGCATTTGCTGTACTTTGCCTTTCATGTTCTGGCTCCGACGTAATCTAACATGAGTATAGATGTGAAGCACATGTAGAGCAGAGATAGTGGATGTTTCCCAGCTCGCTGAAGAATAAAGCCTCAGTATGATTCATGAGGTGACAAAACACTGTGATAACACCACTCAGTTCTTCGTTTGAATCACGATTAAACCTGTTGTGCTTTAACTTCTGCTTCTCCTCTTTGGAAGTTTCCTACAAGTAGTTTATGTTCTTTCCATATGAAAATGAAGGCTCGGCTTCCCAGCTGGGATACACTGGATATTTGCATTAGCTACTTGTGTGGACTTAGCTGTGGTTCGTCCATGTGCACTGGCCAGTGTAATGAATTTTGCATGGGCCCGGGGGAAGGTTACTCTGTTGGTTCTCCGAGTCTTCCGCGTGGAAGCATTTACCGTCAGTCCCCCTGTGTCACCGTCTGAATTATTTAGCCACATCTCTAATTCATACTGGTGCTGCCTCAGTCTGGAGTGGCCGCCTTCGTTGCGGACTTCACACCTTTTCGAAAGACGGTAAACTAATAAAAAGTGTGAAAAACAGTTCTCACACAGGCGAGAAAATCACGAGCATCTTCTCGGCCTGTAGCCCCGGGCCTCTGTTTCTGTGCTGCCTAGTAGGTGTTTCCACTGAACGCCTGATTCACTGAAATAAGCAGATTATAGGACAATGTTAGATTTTTCACTGACAAAAGGCTAATTTGTTCAAGACTTAATGTAGACTCAGAATAATCCCATCACTTCATCAAACCCTTACTCAGGATTTACCTTGCTTTTATGTAATTAGATGAACTTTGGAACTTTGTTTATCTTCCTATGACTCACTCAGAGCAGTTCATGAATATTTTGATATGTGGACAGCTCGTGCCTCTGACAGGAAAAGGGAATGCTCTGATAAGCTCAACACGCGCCGGCATCTCGGAACAGACACGTTTTCCTGGGCACGGCTTCCTTTTAATATCAAAACACACAGTGTGGCCAAATGAACTGCAGTCTGTTTGATGTTAATGTTTAGTTTGAATATTTTCTAGGACGACAGGCCAGTGAAGCATTTAATATGTTGGGAAAGTACAGAAAGTTTAACTAAACCTGTTAGAAAGTTGTTAGTCGCTTATACCCACAAAACAACAAACCAGTCTTGCGTAAGGCCTGCTGCTACCGGGGGTTTCAAAAAGTTTGACCTCGCCTACATGACATGACACAACAGGTTACTAAATCACCAGATTTAAGTTTTCCTTGTAGAGGATGATGAATAGCAAGGCTCAGGGCAACATGTGGGGTTTTTCCAGGCTCAGGAGGGGCTTTCAGAGGTAATACTCACAACAGTAAACATGATGGATCCATGTCTAGTGCCTTATTTGAGAGAATTCCAGGCATTTTCTTGTTATTTCTGAACAATTGGTAAACAAAATTTCTATTGTGCCTGAGAAAACAAAACCATATTTAACTGTTTTGGGGTTTTTTTGCAGTTTTAAATTCTCAGCATTTTGACGCTGATGATTTTCCTTTGGTGTTGGCTTAAACCTCTTAGCTGCCTTGTGTAAAAAGTTGATGACATTAGTGTACAACAAAGAATTTTGTAAATAAAATTTTAACATTTTTAAAGTTATTGTTTTGGTCTTTTTGCCTTTATTGGATAGGACAGTTGAGAGAGAGGCAGGAAAGTGGGGAACAGAATGGGGGAAGGAGTTGCAGCAAAGGGCCATGAGCGGGATTCAAAGCCATGGCCGCTGCATCGGGGACTATAGCCCCTGTACATGGGTCGCCCGCTCAACCAGGTGAGCTAAATGGTGGCCCAAAATGAAACATTTTTAAAGGAAAACCAGCCGTTTAATCTGATTTTCAATGTACCGAAAAAAGGTCAAGGATACATTTCGGCCTGAGGGTTGCTCTAGACGATAGGTCAGGGGTCAACTAAATCATTAGGAATCGTTCACCTGGGGCCATGGATATCAATACTCAATTTCACAATTATCTCACTAGCTCAGACATCCTCTCTTGGTGAAACTGACCGATAACAAATTGACCAACACGCTAAACAATATTTACGCATATAAAAGGTGTCTTATGAAAAATGTGTTGGTCAAATTTTCTCAAGCAGAGATGCACGAATGGACGTCTCAGTTTTAAATTCCAGCAGCGCTCATCTTATCTGAGCTACTTGTTTGGACTTTTTCTGTACCGCCGTGTGAAACTGCAATTCTCTGAGAACCGCTTTGATATTAATGAATTCCTGTATTAGTGCCAACATTCATTTTAGCTCCAGTCTGTTGCTATAACTTCAAAAAGTCCTGCTGAGATGTTTCTGCCCAGAGGCCTCATTAAAAGGCTATATTCTTCTGACAATGAGGGTAACTCTCAACAAACTAAAAAACTGACTGAGTGCAACATGAAATACTGACAAGTAAGTGGAAAGGTTCACGTCGTACTCCTTCGTGGTAAATGCCCGTGTTCCTCTCAGCTCGGCGAAAATGTCTCTCATTGATATTCAGCGGTGCTTCCAGAGGCAGGCAGGGGAGGTTTAGGAGCAGTATAAATGAAAGAGTCCTGTTTAATACTCACAGCTCTCGGTTTCATTTTCACACTTGTTCTTTACTTTTTGAACATATACAATTATAGTGGAGCCACTTAGCAATCCTAGCTGAGAAGATAAAAACTCTCCAAAGCTGAATGAATCCACAGCAGCTATATCAGAGAAAATTTCAGCAGTTATTAATATATAGTGTGATAATAAGAGGGCACGTTGATTATATAGAGGAAAAAACCAACACAGAAGTCTTTTTTAGCCTTTGTGCCTTTTTTGGATAGATTTAGTCAGAGAGAGAGACAGGAAAATAGGGGAGAAGAATGGGGGGAGGACATGTGGGAAAGGGCCATGAGCGGGAATCAAACTCATGACCTCCACATTGGGACTGTAGTCCTGCACATGGGACGCCAGCTCAACCAGGTGAGCTATAGCGGCGCCCCGACACAAAAGTCTTTTGGCATTGTTTCTCCAAGTCTTTTGAATTCTACTAGAGCGATGGACACCATTCTTCCAAAAGATATTCCTTCATTTGGTGTTTTGAAGATGGAGATGGAGAGCACTGTTTAACAAGTTGATTTAAATGTCCTGTTGGTGTTTGACCGGGTTGAGATCAGGTGACTGTGAAGGCCATAGGATAGGATTCACATCATTTTCAGTCTGATCAAACCAATCGGTAACCCCTTGCGTCCTACGTAACCCTGAAAGAAATCGTTTCCATCAGGACAGAAATAGTATAAAGCTGATCACCTGGAACAACTTTGTATTGATTTGCAGTGACCCTTCCAAGCCATGCGAGTAAAAAGGCCCCTCACAGATTACCAGAGCCACCAGAATTCCTCAAAGTAGCGATCAAGGGTTGAAGTTTTTCCTTTAATTAGTGACCTGTAGTAATTCAGCAACAAAAATGCCAGTTACCTTTTAAAATAGCCACTCAGATTTACTACTGTATACCTCTGTGAGTCCTGGTTGAATGTTGGAGTGCTTTTTTGGGCAGTGAAATCTAACCAACAAGTTGTACATGATTAGGAGAACAAAGTTTTACTGTGACCTGTCCAGGAAGTACCCTGCCTTCACCCTAAGTCGAGCTCCAGCCCCGTACAGAGGATAAAGCGTTGTGTAGAAAATAGATGTTTTACTGCAAAAACAAAGCCTACATATGCTCTACATGAAGAAGAAGCATAAAACACAGAATCCACACTATTTCATGGACGTTCACAATTACTTGGATTAACCCAGTCAAGCACAAAACAAACACTAAAAACATCCACAGCTTAACACAGCAGAGCTGGTAAAGCAAAAGCCCGAACAGCACGGAAAAGTACAGCATGAGCCAAAGAAAAAAAATAAAAAATAAAATAAAAAAAACAAGGGATCAGCCCTGCATTTATCCTGCAGACATCAGCAGAATCACACAGGGTCCAAACTGGCAGCATGTATCAATTAGAGGGGGCACAGGGGACTGTGAAGGTGGGCCCATCTAATCCGCCACTCAGCACTTCCACATTGATTAGCTCTCTCCTCATCTAGGAAGCGGCGCGAGCCCCATCCTCTGCAGCCATGAAAACTCCCCAACCGGAAAATATTCCTCCTAAAAAGAGGCCACACTTGTCAAATGTGAGCGTACACCTGCTGACTCCGGATATCTTAGTGTTCAGGACTGCTCCAGTGAGCACTCCTCATTCCACCCCCGCTGAAAAGTGTAGCTGAAAGGTATTAAGAGCCTGTGATATGAATTGATTACTTCGCTATATTTGCTTTTGATAAGTGGAGACTCTGCCACATTAATCTCTGGCAGTAATCTTTAAATGCGCTGCCAGCTCTTGCTTAGTTAAGGCTAACATTTTAGGAAAAGAGGTTTGTATGGATTTAGAAAACACGCAGGTCGCTCTGTTGCAGTTAATGCCGGGTTTGTATGATATTTCAGATACGTACCCCATGTGTGTAAAAGCCATCTAAGATTAATATATTCTTTAGAAAATATTTAAGCTGGAACTGATCTCTCGGTAATGGCTGAGCTAAACGCCAGCTTGGTAAACCACCCATGAAATCTGATGGTGGCACGTGGCAAGTTTTAGCCTCCTACAGCCTTCATGCCTCAGCGCTCTACAGCTGAGAAATATGAGAAGTAGTTTTTTTTCTCAATTTCTAAACTCAACCATCACTTCTAACTGAGATGACTGGCTGCTAACAAAAGCAGGGAGAAAATGTTTGAAAACTTCCCAGTTTTAGAGTTTAAGCTCTTAAAGCTGGAGAAATCCTTGTCATGTTGCATCACATCTCGAATTCCTTCTCTTCCTTCTGAATGACTGTGCTCAGCGGTGTGGACATTCTTACCAATGTGAATAAAGCATGGCACCAAGCCCACATTATACAGCGGATGTCGCAAGAGCATTCGTCACATGCAAGCAAAGGCAATATAGTAATAAAGGAATACCGTCTTTAACTTGTGTTTGTCTCTGCTCTCGCAGGAGGAGGAGATCCCAGAGTTAGAAATCGACATAGACGAGCTCCTGGAGCTGCCAGATGAAGGGCAGAGAACCCGGCTGCAGGTAAGATTGTGTAGTAGAAGAAGCTTAATACAATTCAAATTTGATTCACATTTCAAAATGCAAAACTTCAGTCTCCAGCTGTTTGTTTAATTTAACCGTGTTGGCTTGCCTCGTGACGCTAGTTCACTCAAATGTGCAAACAAACCAGTTCCAGGAGTCCAAAAGTCAGGCCGAAGAATTTTTAACAATTCTAATCGACACCTCTGTACATATATGACTATTTGCTATGTGGGGCAATAGCTTAAGAGGGACTTGACCCTTGATGGATTTTGCAATGTGTGCAGTGGAAAATGTTGCTAGTGATCCTGTTTCTGTTTGTTGTCTTTGTTAGGAGTTGTTGCAGGAATGTGGCAAGCCAAAAGAGGTGAGACAAAAAAAAAAATACTTATGTGAAACTAAACACTGGCATAAAAAGAAGATATTAATCCACTAAAACTAAACAGACTTGTTAAGTAGGCTGTGTTGTCTAGTTTATAAAAGACCAAATAATCTATTTTCTCCATCTCCCCTACAGGATTTTATCAACGGGCTGCTCTACAGGATAAAGGGTTTACGCAAAATGTCAGGTCCCTTGAAGAAATAATTATAGGTCACATTAAGAATCGAGACAATGGAGCCTCTTATCTTCCCATCTCCCACGCGCGATACCATTCGGATGCCTGTATGAGCGGTTCACATGTCAGGAGGAATCTTCTCCTGCCCTCTGCCTCCGTCCTGGGTCAGCAACACCAGAGCAGTCGATTTTTGAATGGATTTTTTTTATTAGTATTATTATTATTATTTCATTTTAATTTATGGACTGCTATAACATTTTGTCTCCCATTAGCATACCAATAATGTACATGTGATAAAAGTTGTACTGACTATTACTCAGACGGACTGTTTTTTTGTTTTTTTTGTGTAACACTGTACATTTTCCGTTGCCTATTTATGTACATAAATATTTTGTTCAGATAACAGTGTTGTCGAAATAAAATTCAACATTTTCAAAACAAGGCGGTTCATGAGTTATGGAAATGGTTACATTGGATTTTAAAACAAAATGATAAACCAATACGTATCATCAGGTATTATCAAATTTCACATATACAAATAAATATCGACATGTACATTACACACATGGTTTTACAGTACCCATTAAACTACCCTGTCACCACAATTGCTCTTTATTACTGCCCTAAAACACAAATGACGATAACGTCCTACTGCTTGGAGACAACTCTAACACTCTCCTATAGAGCGGCAGTCGGCGCGTCGTTCCCAGAATGCAAAGGTTCTGTTTTCTGGGTGTAAATTTTTCAACACGGTGAAACAAAGGAAACAAAGGAGACGTTGACATGTCAAGTCTAGAAGTAAACACAGTGAAATCAGCAGCAGGATGTTCCATTAAGTATTCATCCATTATCCTCATCCATTTCCTGTCTGCGGTGCGTGTACGACACGGCCAGAAAAGGCAAACACAGTAACTGCCTCCATACCAACCTTAATGGAGCCAGCCCCCGGAGGAGAGTGTAATTATGGTTTCTCTGCAGTTAGCTAGACAGTAATGCACACTGATGAAACTGCACTCTGGCCTTCTCTCTGTCATACACAGGGGGTCCTGGTTGAGGGCTCCATTATAGTAATTTGTATGGTTCTCTCCCACTTCCACTCTTTTCTCTTCTCTGACACAGAAGCCATCCATACTGTCAGTACGCGTCTGACAAAGCCTGCCAGGCTGAGACATTTTCATCAAGTAATGATATCTTTGATAAAAAAGAAAGGCATCAGTGTTAAAAAATAAAACTAAACGATGTGCTGGGTTCTCGCAAAGATGTGACATAATGTCAAACACTTTTACTTCATTTATAATGAAATTACACGTAAGGACAGAGTTGCAGCCAAACATAGATTACAAGAGTGACTGCAGTGGCTGCCAAAAGAAAACAAAGCCCTCAGTAATCCTTTTATACTGACTCCTCTGTGCTTCTTCAGTCCAGAGATGACAGTAGTCTGGGATTGTACATCATCCCAGATGAGCTCATCATGTGTTTGCTTTCTGTACGTGTTGTTAAACCTAAAACGGATCAAATGATGACAAGTGCAAAGTGCACTTAAAATGAGCCTTTGTTGCCATTAGGAAGTAGGACAACTGACATTAAAAAAAAACCTTATGCTTCTTACTCATTTGGACAGTTTGAAACTTTTCTGTGCAGGAGCTGTGCAGTTTTGCTAAAATCACAATACGGTCTAGCAGCCTCTGCAGATGTTACTTCTGTTTTTTTATACATTCCACAAAAATAAGCTATGTTGTACCTATTATACACATTGTATTGCATTTACATAAGGTCTATGTCACTGCCTACCCTGTGCTCTGCTAGCAACATCACCAGTTGTTTCCTAGTATATACTGTTAATTCATAGATCAGCCATAGCAATTACAGAAAGCAGATGCTGCTCTTCCTGTTAATAAATTGATAAACTAATAATTATTGGATTATGATTGGGTCTGGCTTGCTTTAGATAATGGGTAGGGTTGAAATGTTCTGAGTTGCTCTTTGATTAATAATAACAGGTCACTTAAGGCTAAAGAACAAGTCTAACAGTGATGACTGACCAGAGCCTTATATGGCAAAACACCTGCGGCAAAGTCTCACTATCATGTCTTCCTCTTCTTCTTTGGCGCAGTGTAGTTGGTGGTGCGATGCTCCATCCTGTCATATTTATCATGGCCTTCCCTGGGGAGATAATGGAGAGTGGATTGATAATTCATCAAACTAAATACTTTATATTCATGCTGCTTAACAGGATGGCAGCAGCCTGCCTACAATTTATCTGGGTCATGGTATGAATTCCAAATCACAGGCATCTTTCTTGGGCACCAGAAGAAGATTTCCATGCAAGGCTCTGCCGTGAGTCGAGACCCAGAATTCTTATTGTGCTCATTAAAACCCATGTATGTTACACTACCTGAAGCAGCGGTTGCAGTAGAGGTCTCCATCACAGGTGTGACAGCGAAGGGTGGCGTCTTGGTTGCAGATGCAGCACCATGGAAGCTCTTCGTCATCGCTGTCTGATGGCGGATGTGCTACAGCAGCTGGAACAACTCTGCTCTTGGGTGCAGAAGCCGCGGTCTTTAAAACACATGAGATGAGTTAGCATTTAAACGTTATGCACTCAAGCAGTTTTAAGAATTTAGGAATTTGTATTCTGAGTGTTGTTTCGTACCGGTTTCTTGGAAGCTTTTTTCTTCTCTGTGTTCTTTGGGCCACTTGTTTCTAAAGGTATGTTGTAGCCACTGGCCTCATCCAGTGCAGCTTCTTCTGAGAGCTGGAACCAAAATCAATACTATCTTCAAAACATGTCTGTAGTTCACATTACAAATGCATAACGTGGAAAAATAGCAGCCCCTTGTGGCCACTCTGACCTGCCTGAGTTAGTCGGTAAAGTGTAATACAGACTCTATAGCAAAGTAATTGTGCCCAAATCATTACAGCATAAGGTGTACTTTGCCTTAAAGCCCACACCTGTTTTAACACTCTCATCACAGCTTCTTCCTCGGTCTCCTCATCACTGTCAGGATGCTCGAAGTCCTCCGCAGTAACTGAAGGTGAGATACAATAATGACAGTTTGTGATACACAAGCATTACAACACAGTGTTTGTACTGCAAGGCGTTATCATGTTCTCTGACATTCTGTTGTAAGACTATGGATAACAGATAAGGTAAAGAGAGTGGTGTGCCAGTAACTCTGCATGTTATGCACCTTTGTCTGGGTCCTGCCCCTTCAGCTGCGCCAGTCTCTTGGCCATGTGGAGGATCTGGTCCTGTGAATGACGCTCCTTCCTCAGCTCCTCCATGGCCTCCTCAAGCAAATGGGCTTTCTCAGCCTCCAGTTGCTTGGCTGCACCCTGGTTCTCTTCTAAATTCTCATCTAATGTTTCCCCCTCCCCCTTGTTGAGGTCATTCATAGAGCCATCTACGCCTGCAGAGGGAACGGTGAGATTTCAGCGTATTTAGGATTGCAGTATAGCAGCTGACTTTGGTGTCGGGATGCATTCACGATAAAAATATTATGACTGTGTAAGACTTCAAAATGACTGCATCATAGTTCTGATTGAATATGGATGAAATCAGTGATACGAGGAACATCTTACTGCATTCAGGATTTGATTGCTGGTTGTCAATGGCAACCTCCTCTGTCATCTGACTTATCAAATCATTGGCTTGTTCAGTCTGAGTCCGGCGATCTGGAGGTTGATGCACCTGCATAGATAAGCACATATACTTGTAATTAATTACAGCGCATTCTTTATCATGCAGTTCCTTCTCCATAACATCAAATACTTAAAGCTCTCATTGAGCAGTAGTGTAAGTCCTAGAATGTTAGAAACAAGTACGAAAGGACTTGTTTGTAACATCCCAGGAGTTACAGTATGAGTAGAATAGAAAAGGACTTCGCTCACAGGTGGAGGAGCTTGAGATGGTGGAGGTTGACCACGTAAAGCCGCTAGACGGTCCTCCATCTCTGCTGCAGAAGGTACTGGCTGACTGGGAGCTTTTAGAGCAGCAAGACGAGACTCAAGCTCTTTCTCAGAGGGGATAGATTCTGAAGGAAGAGGTGAAAATCTTACAATGGTTTCATGCAAAGGAAAAGGAAATTATTACTGCACTTGTCAGACTGAATCAAAAGAGTGGCTGCCACAAAATCTCATTCCATTACTTGGTGTAGTGTCTTCTTTGAGCTTTTGGAGTCTTTCAGCAATAGCCTGATCTTCTTTACTCAGGCCTTTGGCTGGCAGATGGCCCGCTTTGCTGTGTCTACTCCCTCCATGGACAACAGGCTGTGTCGACTGTCCCTGCTGTTTGGCCTCGAGTGCAGCTACTCGTCTATGAAGGGCACATGAGGTTTTGATACTATGACTCAGCTGTATTAAAAATGCGTCATTGTTATCAAATTTGATTACATACTGACTTTTTGTAATTTTCAGGAGGGGACCATCTCCCAGCATTGTTTGGAGACTCCCCACTAAAAATGAGGAAAGGACAGCTTTAAAGCTTATTATCTTCAGGTTTTTTACACTAATATTTTTTGCATAGTTTGTGCATTACCTAGTCAGATTACCATGGCACTGCTTGCAGACCTTCTGCTGGGTGTTGCCACAGCGAGGCACCACAGCACTGAAAGTCAAACAGCTGGAGCAGAAGGAGCGGCCGCAGTTCTTACAGCCCAACTATGAGGACATTACAACGTAAAGCACACAGTATTCTCCCCTTTAAACTGCATATCTGCGTGAGTTATATTAGCCAGCACAACCTTACCTCCTTCTTGAAGAGACTAAACTTTGACGCACAACAATAACAACGATTGTCCATACCGACACGCGGCACACCGAGTCATGAGACAGGCAATTACAGTCTGACTGAAATTGCTGTCGCCGCTAAATATCTAAGAAAAATCCACTCGGCGAAGACTTATTAAGCAGCTAGCTACCTATTCTCAGGTTGCTACAATCAAAACAGGAACCAACCCGGAAGACGCGGTGCGGCGTCACTTTGCGTCTTCCTGTTTCTGATTCGTCCAATCAGATCTCTCCAAATTGTCTCGCGGTTCTTGTTCAAAACACAGAGCCGTTCAACAGTTCTCCTGATACAACGGTGGACGTGAGATTTTCTGGAAAAGGGACAAAGCAGTCGTGAACGCGGTATGGAAAATGAACATTTTATAGATTACCAACTTTATTTCATATAGGATCAAATATAAAGGGCGAGTTTTGCTAATATTGCAAACAACGACAAAGTCGAGCGAGCTAAAGCCGATGCTAGCTAGCTAGCGTGCTAGCTGTCGCCCCACGTCATGCCCTCCTAACGTTAGAAACCAGCTCAGACACTGGAAACATCCGTTATCCTCCAGTCATACGTTTAACATGATGGTTACAGCAAGCAATAAGTTGTTTCTAAGACTTTATTATTTGTTCCTTTATTTCCTATAGTTATTACATAATGTTAGAGTACAATTCAGAGACATGTCCTCGTGCTTACACCCTGGTGTTATTACTAGTGTTGTCCTTATATAACACGATTCCCATGACCTCATTATTTTTCCGTTTGCACACTTAAACACCAGTGTAAGAGCTAGATGGTTATAAAAATGATCATCAGTGTAATAAAGTACTATAAGCCACGTAGAACCTTTACTGTATGGGAGTGCATGGTGCTATACGGCCTTAGTTAATGCACAAAGAAGTGAAAAACGTGATAGGACAGGATTACAAACAGTTTATAAATTGTTATTACATGAATGAAACTCTCCAGAAAAGTGCAATAGGATGCAGTTATAGAGAATGTGCATTGAAAATTAAACTGTTTCTTTGTTTATGTCTGTCTGCAGGAGTCTAGTTTTCATTTCCACAATGGCAGAAGGAGGAGATGTGGAGTGGGAGCTAAGCAAAGAAAACATCCAGCCACTGAGACGGGGCAGAGACATATCCGCATTACATCAAGCCCTTAGTCAACAACAGGATGGACCCACCTCTGCGATCAACCAACAGAGACAGTATGAATGACCTTAAGACACCCTCAGATGGAAAAACAAATTTTTAACCTTGTTAACATGGCCTTGTGGTGTTTTTTAAAATGCTAGAAGACATATCATGAATGAAATAATCATTGCCATTGCTGAGCATGTGAGAATACACGCCTTGGAACTGCAGTACATTGATGGTGGTGTTAAAAACACGGATTCAGATCAGATTCAGCCACAGTTTATACGTAACAAACTTAAGGAACATGTATTGTCAACATGCAGGTTGGGCTATCTAATCTAAAATTAGCGACATGTTATTAGCTGTTTTATAATGTAGTCAAACCATAGGCTCATGTTATCTATTACTGCTATGTTATTACCATTGTAGAGAGCAATACACAAAATCCATTAGTATTCTGATACATTGATTTGTAGGTGAACCTTTGCTCTTCTTCTTCAGAGTCAGTTATGTGCTTAAACATATATGGCAGGAATTTTCCAATAATACAACTTAGCGTGTAGTATAGAGTGGCTTTACAGTTTATCAGCACACATGTTTGAGCTGCAGGCAAACAGTGGAATAGTTGGCGGAGACAGAGGTGGCAAATAATTTGTCTGTTCATAAATCCACGCATACAAGAGGAGGCATAGGTCTAGAGATGCATTTCAGCAAATTTTGAAGCAGGAAAGGTTTATTTTAAACATGTAAATGTTTCATTTAAATGGAGATGATGAGTTTTAAAGGACTTTATTCAATGCAATTGGGTAGTATGAAAAAAGAAAAACAGTTACATACCTTTTCCCTACAGTTTTGGCATTGATAAGACTGAACAATTAATTGAAATATTACTGAAGT